TTTAGCGAAATTCAGGAAATTTGATTTTGAGATTTCTTGAAATTTCTTTGGGGTGGGGGTACACCTTACAGATTGCATCACAGATTGAGTACACCCAACTGAGGTGAACATGGCCATATGGGGTATCATTGGAAAGCGATTTCTACTATCTTTCAAGTGATATCCATGCCAAGGCGTTCAAATGCATCTTATGACGTCATATTGGTAGGAAGAAACAAAGGTTCATTCAAAACTGCCCCGAAAACAATTGAATGGCACGGGAGAATGGAATTCGGGGTACTTGGCACAGTGGCCTCGCCCCCAAAACACCAAAATTGCTTCAAAATGTCACGATTTTGGTAGCATTGTTCAGCTAAGATACAGCCCTTTAATATGATATGCGCTATTAGGCTTCTCAATGAACTAAAAAACCTCAAAAAGGGATAAAACCTTCAAAATGCCCCAAAAAAGCGCCTTCTATTAGGTTGAAGATCACAGTAGAGTTTCCCATAGGTGGCCATTATAACATTTTACCCTGTATCTTATTAACGATTAGTATCCAAGCCTAGTGCAACATACCACAGTGTTCGGGAGAGACTCGCCTAGCCTGCTATAACAATCTTACCATGGGTTGTCCACCGAATTTTTGAAATAAATAAACTTGAAGACACTAACCCCCTCTATCGTCAGATTTCTCAGAGAATTCTGGTAAAATCACCAAGGTCAAAATCACTCCGCCGCCAGCTTAAAATGAGATTTCCCACTGAACTCTGACATGTTTTCAGATAAATTAGGACCTACCCTATAAATATTTAGTCCCGATTCACTTCCCAAACGCTAGATGGCGCTCCAATGGGGTAGGGAAGGAGAAAATGACTTTTTATTCAGAAAACCAAATCACTAACGGTAACCGCTAATGTCCTTACTCAGGACTATATCCTAATAGTAAACTGAATTAGTTTGTTTTCTTCCAACATGGTTATATTAGCATTGTAGGCATTATCCCGATCACAATGGTATATAACAATCCTATATTTGAGAAAAAGCACGGAGGAAAAGTCAATCCTTATAGACACAGGTCCTTTTAGCGAAATTCAGGAAATTTGATTTTGAGATTTCTTGAAATTTCTTTGGGGTGGGGGTACACCTTACAGATTGCATCACAGATTGAGTACACCCAACTGAGGTGAACATGGCCATATGGGGTATCATTGGAAAGCGATTTCTACTATCTTTCAAGTGATATCCATGCCAAGGCGTTCAAATGCATCTTATGACGTCATATTGGTAGGAAGAAACAAAGGTTCATTCAAAACTGCCCCGAAAACAATTGAATGGCACGGGAGAATGGAATTCGGGGTACTTGGCACAGTGGCCTCGCCCCCAAAACACCAAAATTGCTTCAAAATGTCACGATTTTGGTAGCATTGTTCAGCTAAGATACAGCCCTTTAATATGATATGCGCTATTAGGCTTCTCAATGAACTAAAAAACCTCAAAAAGGGATAAAACCTTCAAAATGCCCCAAAAAAGCGCCTTCTATTAGGTTGAAGATCACAGTAGAGTTTCCCATAGGTGGCCATTATAACATTTTACCCTGTATCTTATTAACGATTAGTATCCAAGCCTAGTGCAACATACCACAGTGTTCGGGAGAGACTCGCCTAGCCTGCTATAACAATCTTACCATGGGTTGTCCACCGAATTTTTGAAATAAATAAACTTGAAGACACTAACCCCCTCTATCGTCAGATTTCTCAGAGAATTCTGGTAAAATCACCAAGGTCAAAATCACTCCGCCGCCAGCTTAAAATGAGATTTCCCACTGAACTCTGACATGTTTTCAGATAAATTAGGACCTACCCTATAAATATTTAGTCCCGATTCACTTCCCAAACGCTAGATGGCGCTCCAATGGGGTAGGGAAGGAGAAAATGACTTTTTATTCAGAAAACCAAATCACTAACGGTAACCGCTAATGTCCTTACTCAGGACTATATCCTATATAACTTTAATTAGAATATTATCTTATAATTCGGGGAATCAAAGTTACATTCACGCGATACCCTTAAAAAACAAATGCGCCACCGTTTGCGACACGTCATTGCTCTCACGGTGAAACAATACATATATATGAATATTGGGAAATTTGATATCATTCGTTGAAAAAGAAAAGAATGAAACAAACTGAATTGAAAAGCGATATTTTTTCCTTTTCATGACCGCCATTTTTCAGACAAGTTTCTAAAATTTTAAAGATTGTATCATTTAGAGCAATATATTGGGCACATTTTCTGAAAAATTCAAAAGATCCTGTTCATTGACCTTTCCTATGCTCCTACTTAAAGCTATTTACATTGACCTTTTCAGAGGGCTGAAAAAGTTATTTCATCATGTCTAGTGTCATTCTGACCATGGTCAGTGTGATCCTGGTCACACTGCATCATGCGACCTTAAACTACAAGGTTTGCTTTTATACAGAACACCTACATTCAGTACATTGTAGTAATTAGGTATGGCTGTATTCTGTGTAGATGCACTGGCCCGCCCCTCCCTCTGAGATGGGCCCAGGAAAAGGGGTCCGACATTTAAGCGCCCCACATGTCTTGGGTCAGATATCGTCCTGGTTGCTGAAGTCAGGAATTTTTTGGGAACATGGAGCAAAACGGCCCTCATAATAATTTGAATGTGCAGAGGTTTTTCTAATCTGTCAATCATCAAACGTTCATGTTCCATCTTATGAAGGGATTATATCTCACATTTTCTGTGATTTTTCAGAGTGTTCGAAAATAATGTTGAGAGTAGGGCAAAATGGCCCATGGGTGGGGCAGAACAGCCCACACTGAAAGCTTCGGTTTTAAAACCAAGATTAATTAACTACAGGACTCGTCAACACACATTTATCTCAGACGGTCAAAGATTAGACAGATAGAATATTCTTAGCCCTTACCCTAAAATTACGATTTAGTACTCATTTGATATGTTTTGAAACAAAAACCAAGTGTTAAAATCTTTATCGGGATGATAGATTGTTATTTTCCTGTATGTAAACAGTTAATTCCACAAGCCGTAATGGGGGGGCAACATTTAAGTTAAGTTTTCATTGCAAATGGTAGCATCTTCAAATTATCAGTAGCTGGGGCTACAGATATAGCACATCAAGTACTCTATAAAATCAGGAATATTGTACATAGGGTAACTCATTTCTTTATAATGATGCAATCATCGGCTCAAATGGACAAAATTGGAAAAAGCTGTCACTAATTTGGCAATACGTGTTGTTACTCAAAAGTCAGGTTTTTGTTTTTGTTGTTATTACGCAGCCCTTTCACTGAAAATGTCAATGCGCGTGATTGCAAGGTAGTCCCAATAATTTGTGTTTCCTAGAGCTTGAAAATACTGTTATCGTCAACGAGTGGATGTTCATTCACATGCATGAAAACTGGGAAAATATTTCTTCCGAATTCCATAGGCTATGAAAACATTTCCTTGGAATTTTACTTATGCGTAATAATACGAACAAAGTTACGGACTTTTTTTCGATCAGATGCGTGGTTCGCGGTAACGGATCTCTGTGCGCGGTACAAGAAATATGTTCGGAAACAAGGAAATGGTGGTGCGCGACATAAGATTTCACGTTCGCGATATGAGATTCGTGGTTCGAGTGCAAGGAACGTAGTTCGCGGTATCAGAACTGATGTTCGCGTTCTTGGAAGTCTAGGAGGCCTGTGTTCTGACAATTGTAACTTTTCATGACAAATCCAAGGAAAAGAGTTTGCAAGCTGAAATATGATTATTTCACCCTTAAAATACCAAATTTGAATAACATTCATGTTAAATTAATGTTTGAGATATCCTATTTTCACAATCATTGATCAACATGCAAATGATATACAGGGTGACCCAAAAAAATGCAACCCTCCATTTCTTCAATATTTTTCTTAAATGGCGGTAAATTGCTCTGAAATTTGGCACACAAGGACTTCATTCAATGTGGGATCCCCTGACAAAGTGTCAATAATCATAGTCTTATATTGATAGAGTTATGGTCGTTCCAAAATATGCTCCAAATGTCATCCAAATCCAATGTTAGGTTTTCGGATGAATCACATTCCCTTCTTTCTGAACATGTAAACTCAAGAAATAATGTGTTCTGGGATCACAAATTCCAGATGAAGTGCTTCAAAGGCCCCTTCATTCTGTTAAATGCACAGCTTGGGCTGCCAATTTTCAAACATGAAATCATCAGCCCCTTTTGGTTTAAGGTTGATAATGGCAACACTGTTACTGTTAACACACAGCACAATATTGGCGTTCCCAGGAAGTTCTAGGCAGTGCTAGAGTGACATAGAGGCTTCAATAGACTAGAACAGTGGTTCTAGAAGGATGGAGCTACTCCTCACACTTCTAATGATAGCAAAGCCTGGCTCACTAGTCATTTCTATGAGAAGATTGTCTCTCCGAGGACGGAGAACCGATGGTTATCCTAAAGTCTTGATCTCAATGCCCCTGACTTCTATATATGGGGTTATTTAAAGGATAATGTGTATATAAATAACCCTCCCGCAATTGCAGAACTCCAACAAGCAATTGCTGCAAAAATTTGAGCCATACCCATGGGGAAGAATGCATCCGTATTATGAACAGTTTTCCTTGAACATTGCAAGTTTGTTTTCAGCGAATTTGACGACATCTGGAGCATATTTTGAAACAACCATAACTCTATCAATATAAAACTATGATTATTAATACTTTGCCAGAGGATCCCACATTGAATGAAGTCCTTGTGTGCCAAATCTCAGAGCAATTTACCTCCATTTAAGAAAAATGTGTTTTACCTTTAAAAACATATTTTGGATTGCTACGAGACAAATATAAAGGTATAATCAGATATTAACAATTTGGGCTCATGACCACCGCAATATCATTTACGCAATTAGTACAATTGGGTAGGCGTTGTCACCAGTCAAACTATCCGAACTTCAACATGACATACGTTTATTTCAAAATATTCAATTTACTCGATGGAGGTGATATCATTGATAATCCTGGTGCTGTGCTGGTACTCATTAGGTTTTCCGTCTAGAAGCCGAGGGAAAACCCAGAAACCGTTCTCCGCACTGATAAAGACCTAAAAATTAAGGATTCAAGGATGACGCGTTTATGAGACTTCTACTAGGTCTAGAGTAGTAGACTATAGCATAGGATTTCTTTTTCGGCGCATTAACTTACATTTCTACTAACTCTCGCAGCTTCGGTCGCTACATCTCCAGCAGAAAACGACCCACCTTGAAATAAGGTTAATTCAAAGTATGATAGTCAAATAGTTAGCATAAATTACAAAGAACAGGTCCATTTAACAGACTATTGGTCCACTTAGACTTTTTCCAAAAAAATCATTCTTCCATTTACTTTTAAAACTGATTGCAAATTGTAGATAAACCTTTTTTCTTGAAATGTGCAATTTCAAAAAGTGGCATTAGTTTTCAGATTCTTTGAAAAATTGGCAGTAAGAACCCCTATCACAAGACTGTCTGAATATGGGTACACATTATGTTTACCCTCAAAACAATATCAAAACTTATCATTATATAGAATTTATTATATGGAACATATAGCATACAAGCATTCGGAGTAGAACATTAACAAAATCCAGGTATATATGAAGTTTACTAATGCAAATCTGGAAAACATTGTCATTTTTGTTCACTTTGTTATCAAGTTTTAGCATCGTGCTCATTCCCTTTCATTGAAAATTTAACCATCAGCCCAAACTCCCACAAAAAAGATATTGAAACTGTATAATGCAGAGACTGTGAGGTAGCCTCCCTGCAAATATCATTGTTGTGGGAGTGTGGGCTCACCACTAAAACTTTAATTTTGTGATGAAAATAAGGCTGACTGGTTTATGTTTTCAATATGGCTGCTAACCTGGGCATAAATGTACACTACATAACTGCATGTACAGATTAGGCCAATCAAAATTAATTATATGTTGGCATTCTGATGAAGGGCCTTATATTAAAAACTACAAAACCTTTATTTATTTAAAGGGTTTTATATATTATTTAACAGTGAAAATACAATAACACACTGTGGGAAGGCAAGTAACACACCTCTTGATTCAGATGACCTTGTTAATGAAGACAATACTGAAGCCTATATACACATAGTTTTTAATCAATCTTGGAACGCATTTCACTACAATATAATCCAAGATCACAATTTCCTTTGTCATTTATATGCATAATAAGTACAGCGTACATGGGAACATTTTGTTTTTTCTGAAAATATAGAATTTAGTGACATTAATTATAAAAACATCTTTGAATGGCCTAAGTGTTTTTCTAAATAGTGTATAAGTAGAGAATTTTAAGCAATCCTTTGAGTGTCATGCCATATATACATGATGCTGCCTTATATTTTATGATATATATTGAAAGAGGATTTCTCTGAATTATTTGTGTTTCAAATATGGGAACTGCAAACTGGCAAATAACTATAAATTAAGTGTCCATACAGACATTTAATTTCAAATTCCAAAGCAAATGCCAATGCGCATTTATTAAAAGTGACCCTATAACTATTTAGAATATGGCAAACATGTTTAGAAAACTGGTGAGATGCAATTGAAATAAGAAAATCCATTCTCATGGAAGTGCCCCTGTGTGCATTTAATTGCAGTCATTTTATCCTAATTGCCCATGGGCATTAAAACAAGAATCACATCCCAACTCTTAAAACATGCTTAAGATACTGTTGGAGTCTCAAAAGGCAACAAGAACATTCATTTTTGAAACAGGAAAATTTAGTCCCCCTAAAAATGCCCATATGGGGATTTATTCTCAAGATTTTCTTGTAATTGCCCGTGAGAATTTATTAAGAATATTTTTATTTCCATTCACATGTCTTATTATCAGTCACAATCAAAATTAAGCCAATTGCTTTCATTTCTTGTATTAGAAAATGGCAAAATTTTGACAAAAATAGCATCTCTCAAAGTTGACCTTTAAACCACCCTAATGTCAAGGTCAAATGTCAAAATTCTCAGAAATCACATTTTAAGTAATAAGCCATACTTCCCCTTCAATTCCATGTCAATATATACTTGTTTTGTAGGGGGGCTAAAAGAGGGGTTTACCGCCACCTGTCCTTTTATAGGGATTGTAACTTTGTATAACTTTAAACTACAATTTACGTGCTTCGCAGTAGGTACATGTATCGCAAACCTTGCTACTAAGGTGAAATACCCTTTAGTGCAATAACAAATTACGTATACGTAAATGGGCTATTATCGATTATTTTGAATTCCCTAATACGTACGTATATGGATAAGTTTTGGATATGGGGTTTATCCAGAGACAGATATGCATTTCTCCCGAGGGATAAACCGAATTTTCAAACTGACCGTACATAAATGCATATTATCCTATACCCAGTGGAGTTTTCTAAAAAAAATCAAATTTTCAATTTTTTCAATTTTTTGTTTCAAAATATTTTTCAATTTTTCCTACATTTTTGAAAAATTGATAAGATATGCCCATGAGTGGGACATTTGGAGGTTCTTGATATCACTCAAAATATTGTTTAAGAAAAGCATTTTTCTTACGCAGAAAATATTCATTTGAAACATTTAGCTCTGCTTTTATCTCATTTGAAACAGAGTCAAAACATTGATACGCCACTTTGACAAGCATCAATTTGGTGCAATTTAAAGTATCACAAGGAAACGTTGATCATCATTTGTGATCACCATATTCTTATACCCAATTATTATACTGTTCCCGCTTACCTACAACGAGTAAATCTTTATCTCTATATTCATCAGCAGTCCAAAAAGCACCACTATGAATGAACGTTCCTTTGAAAACATCCATTCCTTTGTAAGCTGGCCAATAATTTTCAGAGTACACACCAGTAGCCACAATTACAGCATCAAATGTATCGGTTGACTCTAATTAATGGCGTAAATCATGAGTTATATTTGGGACATTAGATATAGAGACTTACTGATCACTTCACACGGGCAGTGACGAAACTATAAAATGCAGGTGATTAATAGAAAGTGTAAAGAAGTGTAAAGGCTCAATGAAAACGTCACCTTGCTCACTTCATTAATATATATGTACAGGGTGGGCCAAAAAAAATACCCAACTTCAAATCAGGATAAAAATAGTTACATTCAATGTGGTACATTGACTTACATATCATTTTAAAGGTTATACAATTTCAAACAATTTGGGATATAGCACTGTGTCATGAAATCAATAGTAAAGTTTTATTATACTTATTTGGGAGGCCGGGTTGCTATTTAAGGTCTCCATATTTAAGGGAGAAAATAGTAAATCTGCGGAATTATGTTAATTTTTTATTTATAAAATATCATTCTTTTGTTAGGTGAATACATGCTTGAATATTGATATTTGCATTATTGTGTGACTAAATTTATTGTTTATGAATTTCAGTGTTGTTTAATAACATTTTACACTTTATTTATTTAAACAATTTTCACCATTGCTCAATATACCCCCGCCCCCCCCCCCACCCCCTTCCCTCTGCATCAACAATAAGCTTCAAGTGCTAGCGCAATATATCAATAGCCTTATTGAGAGATTTCTGTTGAAATTCATTTCAGCACTATGGGATTCAGTTTCAGCTCATCAATGCTGTTTATTGGATGCTTTTGATTGTACCATTTCCTCAAGATGGCTCCATGTATGGTAATCAAACACATTAGCATCGGGACTGTTGGGTGGCCAAGCATCGAGATCAATCAAATTGACACCTTGTTTGCAAAGGAATGCCAATGTCTCTTGAGATCTATGGTACGAGGCAATGTATTGTTGGAAAATAAAATCCTCGTCACATATACGTTTAATATCTTTTAACATACCCCCTTTGTGTACTTATTGATAATAAACAACACTAAATTCATAAAGAATAAGTTTAGTCACACAATATGCAAATATACAAGCAAGTATTCCCCTAAAAAAATGATCTATAAATAACAAATTAACATTATTCCGCAGATTTACTATTTTCTCCCTAAAATCTGGATACCTTAAATCCCGACCTGGCCTCCCAAATAAGCATAATATATAAAACTTTAATATTGATTTCATGACATAGTGTTACATACCAAATTATTCAAAAATGGATTCGATTTAAAATGATATATAAATCAATGTATCATATTGAACATAGCTATTTTCATTCTGATTTAAAGTTGGGTATTGTATTTTTTTGGCCCACCCTGTAATACAATCGTTTTACTCGATTAAGTTGACGTTAATGGTGTATCACTGTACGAAAAGCCACTCTTTACGATGGTAAACCACCAACACTTCCAAAAGTTCATTTTATCATGATATCGCCGTTATCGGGGATTATAAAGTCACGTGTCTGTTTTCGCGGCAAAACTGATTTCATTTTCAGAGCAGAATTTTATCACAGAAAGGGATAACAAGAATATAAACATTATGAGGATCATAAGGATAGAAATGGTCTGGTAGAGAATGTCCATTTAAACCTACGTTAATAGGCAACTCAGAAACAGTCATTCACATACTCGACTCTGTCATCGCTATTGACTGTTATATTGTACCAACCTGAACCTGTTGTAGAATTTTTATGCACAACTTTCCAGCCTCTGCCGCCGGGACTTTCCGTATCTATTCGCGAGACTTCTACTATTTCCTCATTGAATTGAATATGCCGCCTCAGTTGGAAGCGATCTTCGTATGATTCAATATAATTCAAGAACAAAGTCCATGGTAGGAAATTTGGCCAATCCTTTAAAGAAATTTAAAATGCATATATACAGGGCGATCACTAACAATGAGTCTATATGTGTCTATATTGTGTAAAAGCTGAAAGTCAGATAAAAGCTATAAATCATGTGGAAATGTGGAGACTTCGAATTCAATGGTGGGCTTTCTGCAATGATGTCGTCAGAGCAGCCCCCGGCCCCGTAGCTGATGATTTGCCACTTTTTGTTTAAAGTTAAATTGGTTACAGAATTGTGATGGCCGAAAGTATTGGATTCAAATTCAATATTTTATTCAATAGTAAACATCAAGACCTTTGTATGCCCGCGTAGCTAGTGAATTGCGTAATGTTTTATTAAGGTTTATCCCCATGTATGCCTTGGTCACATTTGCTCCGATTTTTCCTACGACGCCCGGCCGATTGAGTATTTTGTTCAACATTGAATACAAAACACAAACGAGCAAAACACTCAATCGGCCGGGCGGCGGCCGATGGATCGGAGCAAATGTGCGGCCTCCGTACGGCGTATCCAGTTTTGTACAGGCCGCACGGTCGCCGTAGAAATTTCAACTCGGAGTTATAATATTTGTTCATTTCTGAGGTCCCCGTAGAAATCAACTGGCTCAACAAGATTGAATCATTATTTGTCAATGTTTCACGATCACTTTTCATTTGATATTACGTCCTAGCACTATGAATAACATTTATGAATTGTCCTGATGTGAATAAAATTAAAAAACGTATTATTTATCAACAGAAATTTGAAATTCACCGTGCGGCTGCCGTGGGAAATGTGACTGCAAAAGTATGAGAGCGCAGAAATTCTACGGCGAGCGTAGAAAAGCTACTGGCCGCAGAAATGATAGACCGCACGGCGGCCGTGGGAAATGTGACTGGGGTGTTAATGCAATTTCCTTGCGCCGTGGGTAGTTCAAAAATGCAATCCAAATCATAAATAGACCGTCCATATAATGCTAAATGAATGTGATTTAATAATGTGATTATATTGTTCTTACGTCTGGGACCGGATGGTCACTTAATGCACTCAGCTCTTTATAGGTGTTCATCACAAGAGATGGATACACGGTCGGCCCTTTGTTATCTTCATCTTTTTTCCCATCTTTTATGTTCCATAGGCCACCTGTGAGAAAGAACTTCATATACACTTGTCCGTATAAAAAGTTACTTTCCTATGGTAAAGTTACACTTTTTAACATAGGATTGACCTTTTTGATACACCTGTATTGATATAGTTTTCTGCTGTAACCTTTTATTCCTGGTCGTCTATAATAATCGTTTAACCATGTTTTCATTATATAGCTTTTTAATTTCTCGACATATTTCATACATATTCCAGACATACTCCTCATAGTATGTGTCATATATAATTTTAAAGCGGATCCAAAGTTACATTGATTTGCCAAGTATCATGGTTTAACTCCCAAATGGGAAAAAGTTACAGGCATTTCAAAAGTTAGTGTTTCGTCAAAACAAAGTTCAATGTTATACCACATTACTAGTCAATGTGTCCCCCCTTGGCCATGTGGGGGCCCCATACATTCGGGACACCCAGTATATTTATTAGTCATGGAATTAAAAGCAGCTGATTTATCTAGAAAGGTTTCCTTAATCTCTTTACCATTATCAATATAATAATTTGTTTTGTATATACAATCGTCATCAATAATTAACTGGACTTGGCAGCCATGTTCCGGGACGAACCCGTTTTTTGTAGGCTATACAGTAAAATATTCGCCTGGACATGTTTAAAAATGCATTAAAAATATGTTTTCGAAAAGTTTGATTTAGAGCACAAGAGAGTTATTTGTAGCTAATAACATTTGATTTTAAAAAAGATTTATGGATATATATATATAATTCATTCAGGTCATGTTTTGTCAATTTTAGGTTGTGCCAGGTGTCAAAGAATTTACAGACGATTCCGTCATTTTCAGTGACGGCTCTACCCAGCTTATTGACCATGTGGTATTTTGCACAGGATACAACACAAAATGTTCTCTTTTTAAGGACATCCAGCATGGTAATAATATTATTACACTCTGATATTCTCATCACTTTATACAGTCTATGGCAAGGGCCAGTCTCATTTGTCGTACGGCGGCCGTACGTCGACCGCAGATCAATAACACCCCAGTCACATTTGTCGTACGGAGGCCGCAAGTCGACCGTAGATCAATTAAATCGGTGTATTTCTGCGGCGAGCGTAGGAAAACTACGCTCGCCTTGCGGCCTCCGTACGGCGTATCCAGTTTTTTACAGGCCGCAGGGTCGCCGTAGAAATTATAACTCGGAGTTATAATATTTGTTCATTTTTGAGGTCCCCCTTGAAATCAACTGGCTCAACAAGATTGAATCATTATTTGTCAATGTTTCACGATCACTTTTCATTTGATATTATATCCTAGCACTATGAATAACATTTATAAATTGTCCCGATGTAAATAAAATGAAAAAAGTATTATTTATCAACAGAAATTTTAAATTCACCGTGCGGCTGCCGTGGGAAATGTGACTGCAAAAGTATGAGAGCGCAGAAATTCCACGGCGAGCGTAGAAATGTTACTGGCCGCAGAAATGATAGACCGCAAGGTCGCCGTAGGAAATGTGACTGGGGTGTTAACACTGTAAATTTTGAACGCAGAAGCAACTTAAGACCCTTATTGAGATAACTAGGTTTACATCGGGAACAACATTAACTACTATGAGTAAATTAAGTTCATCTTCACAGAATGGTACTATCTTCCGAACGGGACTAACCTTGTATTTTTCGAATTTTGGCTCTCTTTGGGAGTCGTGTCCTCCCCGTCTTCCATTTTGAAATATGCGTGCAGTTTGTCAGAGTTTCAAACTGCGTGCCTTGTAGGCGCGCAGATTGTCATGGGTACCGTGGTAAGGGTTAGAGATGAGTCCCCTTAGTTTTGCAAGAGGTTGAGATAAAGCGCTTGATCATTGAGTTAGTACTTAACTCAACACCACATTTAAATGAATGATATCTCGGTGTATAACTTGATCCAATCATGTTGATTTTTAGATCAAATTATTACTACTTATTTTAGTGGCTTTCATTTGACACACAGTGCATAGTCTAATATAATTGTAAATATGGAAGCTCTGAGACCATGAACGTGAAACCAACCGTTTTTCATTAAAAAGATTCTCTAAAGTTTTAAACTAGGATATGTTTAGTATTATTATATCACTATCTAGCTAGCGACAGTATGATTGGTCAAAACCGGGTCACATGTCGTGGGATATCTGGTGATATTCAATGGCAATGCTAATCAGATAAGACAACCGTGAGATATCTAGCGATATCCCACGCTCCCGGGAATTTTCAAAGAATTTGTTTTCGTTCAGTGTAAATAATTTAGTTCAGTGTAAGTCAAAATGGCAGACGAACCGAGTAGATATGTATTTCGATGTTAACCTATGACTTAATAATCTTAGGGATGTTTAGCTAGACAGTGATATAATAAAACAAATACTTCACTCTATTTTCGGTGAATACCTGTAGCACTTTCACAAGGTGATATTCCACTTGCCCTTCGGGCTTCGTGGAATATCACTTGAAACATTTGTTCAATATTCAATGGCAATGCTAATCAGATAAGACAACCGTGAGATATCTAGCGATATCCCACGCTCCCGGGAATTTTCAAAGAATTTGTTTTCGTTCAGTGTAACTAATTTAGTTCAGTGCAAGTCAAAACGGCAGACGAACCGAGTGGATTCAATGTATTTCAATGTTAACCTATGACTTAATAATATTAGGGATGTTTAGCTAGACAGTGATATAATAAAACAAATATTTCACTCTATTTTCGGTGAATACCTGTAGCACTTTCACAAGGTGATATTCAACTTGCCCTTCGGGCTTCGTGGAATATCACTTGTAAAAGATGTACAGGTATTCACCTCAATAGAGTGAAATATTTGTTCAATATTCATATATTCATTTTAATATCTTCAAATGAAAGAATGGACGAGAATAACAAACTTGTTAACTACATGTATAATGACTAACCTATTTTATTGCTTTTCTCGAAGCAAACTACTTGTAAATTTCCCTCCAGGCATTCTTTTAGAGCAACTAGACCTGCACACCCGGCACCAATCACCGCAACACGTTTTACTTCTTGCGCGTTTCCTTCCATCTTTACCCTAGCTAGAGTTTATATCATTTATAGATGGATTGATCATTGAGTTAGTACTATGCTACTGTAGCTTAGTTTTAATTGTATGTCATTTTTCTTTAAACCTATTGACGGTTGACAAACGTACTTTGATCGAAATTCATTGACATTCTTTGATATTCATTATTCACCCTTTGTAGACATTCAGTTAAAAATTTACCAAATTAATTTGTTACTTCTAATAACATAGGTAGGGATCAAACAGCACTCTCTTGCATGAACCGCTATTATCTGTAGAATTCACCGCACGGCCTAGTAAAAGATAGACCGATTTTGTCAAAACGTAGGCCTCCAGCAAGTCCATCGACCTAGCTTATTTTTGATAGTATTATCCAGCTAGCGGAATGTGTTTGACATCCGTTCCAGTTAAGTATCATTTTCTTGGATATGCGGTCATTGTTATATCCTCACACCTCGCTTAACGTAAAATTAAAGTTGATTGTTTTTACTGTTAAAATGACCAAAAGTATAGAAATATGCATATATTATACTCAGCATTATTTTGACCTTTGCAGTTTCTATTAAAATCGTTTAAAATATCACAGTTTACGTTTCTGGATTTCGCACTCTATTGTGAACTAATATACGAACATGTACTGATTAACTGCGGAAATCGCTCACTATTCTCGTCAAGTTGTGTCAATCTTCAAATGGGTAGGCATGCTATATGAACGAAACCAAGGATATTATCTTTAGCATTCATAGCACATTTTTAATCATATGTAGTATGAGGGAAGTAATACAACCCAGATTTTGACCAAAATAGCTACAGCCACAAGAAATATCTTCATGATTATTCTCAAATGTGTGCCAGTTTATGTAGAACTTTGAAATATATAATGTATATTATATGTCTCTGTCTGACGTAAGCCATGTGTGAATAAGGTAGGTAAATATGTGATTCAACTTAATATACCATAAACAGATCGGATTATTATTGTTAATTGTGGTAAGATGCGGTTTTATGAGAGTTCTATGCAAGAGAGTGCTGTTTTACACTATTGCCAAGGAAGTCAATAACCCAATATCTCTGACCTAGATATATCTATGTCAAGATTTCATGATTATTTCTTATCGAAACATGTTTTATATCTATCATATATACATTGTAATCTACTTAAACATTGTAACCTACTATAATAAGGCCAATATTTGATGGTATTATTTGATGGTCTGATGGTATTATGAAATAAAGACAATAAAAACTTTAAAAAGAGTGCTGTTAGATTCCTACCTGAGAATAAATGGTGAATATCATTCGACATTTCGTACCATTAGTATAAGGTTCTAAGTGGCTCAAACAATGTTTTGAGAAAAACAGGATTGAAGTTTTGGACTTTGATAACTTATTTTCTATTTATTGTAGTTCATTGAGATTTTGGGAATGCGTTAATGACATGAAAACCTGCCTTTTGGTGAATTTCTGCTAAAATTGACACTGAACAACTGTTTTTAAACAAAAACCAAAATGCAAATAGAACCTTTTACTGACAAAAAATAGTCAAGTTCTTATTTTGGTGCATATAGAGCATATTTTTGGCATTCATTGCCCTCGGGAAAAATGTTATGCATTCGATCGGAATCAAAATAAAACATTATGTCATTTTGATTTCACGTTGTCTAATTAATAACAAAATTAATATTTAAAAAAGAAAAATATGTATTTTTAAAAAATACAAAAATAACTAGTAAGTCCAGATATCATATCATCATCAAATAAACATCAATATCAAAATCAAAATATTGCATAATTACACTGTATCATCAAACAAAACTTGCAAATTAATAAAATATTTCACCGTCATCAGAAAACATCTCAAAACACTGTACATATCTTGTTCAGGTTTAATATATAGGGTGGTCAAAACAGGACCGAAGAAAAGTTTAATAACTTGGTCAATCTTGCATATTTTGTCTTGAAGTTGAAATTTCCAATAAATGACCAACAGGGTGACCCAAAAAAGAGAACCCTCTAAAAGTGTAATCATTTCTTAAATACCTATCCGATCAATCTAATTTCTCTATGGATGATAGTCTGATACCAAGTTTGTTGGTTACACAAAATTGATTATTTGTGATATCAATGGATGATCTTAGAATGTGTCAATTTCTCGGAAAATCAACATTGAGACAAATCATTTCTTGAGATATTTTGAAAAATTCAGAAGGAAATTCCAAGGAAGACATGAAATGAAAGTCTCATTTAAAAGTTTAATTGAAAAAAATTAAGAATAAGCAATAGTAAAACACCTGGTAAAAGATCAGATGACTGAAATTCCTGGCCTCTGAGCAAAAACACCTCAAACGCTCATCCATTGGATGAATTCTCAAAAAATCATTAAGACAGCAGAATGACCGATCAAGACCATTGCTTGACTTGTGATTTCAAAGTCAAATGTAAATAATGAGTTGGAAGAGGAAGAAAAGAGAACTGTTTAACACCTGAATGGAGAAAATGAACAGCTTACACCTATCCAGGGAGGTTTCTAAGAATGGGGGTATGAGAACACCTGAAAGTACTGTGTGTGATTGCATTTAGGACAGTTCCAGAATATCGCTCAGAAGGTGCAACCACACCTAAAGATGATTTAAAGGTTGCTAGAAGACTTCCTTATTAATGATCTTACCCTCTATCACAAAATGCAACTTAACAAGAAGCTAAACGAATGTGAAGGGTTTAAACAAACAATGTGTAACCTTTTGGTTGACATGAAAATCTTTTATTTTATTTTCTCTTGTACAAAAGTGGGCACATTTTCTAAGAAGAATATTGAAAGTTATGTAACAAATTTGGTCTCACATTGTCATCCATAGATTGTAGTCTCTGTGCATGAAAAATGAAGCTGATTACATATTTATTTGAGAAATTATTTCATTTTTGGAGGGTTCCGTTTTTTGGTCACCCTGATGATTCTGCCCTTGGATTTTATTTGTTGCAATTGTCCTTTGCGAACCTTAGGATCGCCGTAAGCATCCCCCCTCCCCTGCGACTGCCTTATATCTTCTTTGGTTTTTGCAATAGGGCCGCCCTACTGACCATGCTTCGTCATTCACCAGCCAGTACCGCAATCGTAATTTTATGTCTCCACAAACTCAAAATATGTCATACGGCTGCCGTACCAAATGCAGGCCCCTATAGACTTTGACTCACGAATTGGACAACAAACCCATTGTTTACAATAGTAATGTACTTTGTATAACCATATTGTCAGAGCAACAATAAAATCAAAGGATTTTAAAGCATATTCAAAATGAAGAAGAGATAAGTAGTCTAATAGGCACAGTGACCCGGAAGTGTTCGGCAGAGGTCAAATATAAGCGCTCTGATTGGTCAATTTTAATCACGTGACCTCGCTGTGATTGGTCAATTTATAAGCCACGTGACTCGGTACGTATTAGCCTCTATGGGTTTAATAACATGGGTTAATGGGCAATAAATGTCTCATTAACATTGATGGATGGTTTATCATGAATTTATAATCTAGCTTCAGCCCGCACTTACGGTACAATCCTAGCAATTTGATGAGATGGTTGACAGCTGTAAGTCGTAAAAAGGAATAATCAAACTCATAAACCCAACTTCGATTACCAAGTTCGAAACGGCCGTTAAGCAGTCCCAGTATATATAAAGACAGATTAACAACATTAAATGCTAAATTACTAACAATGCCAATCGGAAAATTTCGAGTTCCAGCTAACATTAAAACCATAAAAAATGGAGACTTCATAGAGACAATTTCCACACCAAAATTAGTTTTAATGAAAATATGCGATGGGATGTTCTCAGCCGTAAATAAAGATGGGGTCGACATCCGAAATTACCAAATATGGCCAATCACAGGCATATCAAATGTATGCAATGCCTATGGGACGATTGCGGGAATATTTCTAACTCATAATCGTATGGCTAGACTCATCGACAATTTGCCTCACATCACGGCAAAATTTGAGGAGATTGAAGCCAAGAAAAAAACGACTGATGTAACAGAGTGGGACATTTTACTTGGGGGAAACTTTCGTCTCAATGTCCATCCTAAATTTCGAAGAGTCAACATACGAGGTAAGGTTTTTAAATGATTTGTAACTGATCATAGAATGTTAAAATAAAAAAAAAATAAAATGAAAAATTAAAAGAATCAAAAAGAAAAATTGAAGTTGTCAATATTATTGTATCCATTTATCATATTTTAAAGGTTATCACATCAATAATTACTCTGACGATCCGCGAAAACATTTGCCTGATCGGTACGGTATCGTGATGACGCGTCAAGTCTTTGAGATGTTTGTGGACAACCTCATAAAATATGGCCTCGTTCAACCTACCGAACCTCATTGTATAATAACGGGTCATGCAGAAAAAAGTGATGCTGATAGTTGTAGTGAATGTAGTTATTTCGAGCCTGGGGATTTCGGAAGCCATAGTTAAATCTCGCAGTAGAAATAAATATATATATACGTCAATGTAAGTAATATAGCCATTCATACCTAGGTTATTGAACATGATAGGTCAATTATTAGTTTTGAGCGTTATTGCAACATGTTGCATTTGTCGAAACATCAATGTTACTCGACACTTTAATGAAACTGAAAACGTAACACCTTATTACGTACTGAAACCATATATTAGTAGTAGTTACGATGTAAATCTAGAGACTCCAATGGCCTTAAGCTTTACCGGAGGTGTTTTAACTTTTGTTATCATAGGTGAGTTACGTGAATTTTGAGAAACTATAATATACCATAATGTTTGGCTTATATTTAATGGTGGTAACTAGTGCTATATCATTTTTAGGTAATGTGTTATGGCTTAGAATGATAACGAGATCCAAATTACCGATTGTTAAGGATGAAAGACAAAGGGAGCCTATGATAGCCGTATAAAATTCATACA